TGCAAAAACACAGAGAGCTTCTTCATATCTGAGCGCAGGGATGATGACAGAAATCAGACTCATCTCAACATGATGGACTGCAGGACAGGACTGCTGTTTTTAACTCTCTGCTTGGCAGGTCAGGGGTTGTTTTTTTGTTTTTTCGATGGTCTAAAATATTTTGTTACATGCTTTAAAGTTATGCAAGTCACTCATTGTCTCATTATTTTTATAGGTGTTAATGGTCAGACTCTGACAGAATCTGAACCAGCAGTTAAACAACCTGGCCAGTCTCACAGATTGACCTGTACAACATCTGGAATCTCATTCAACAGCTACGATATGGTCTGGATCAGACAGGCTCCTGGAAAAGGACTGGAGTGGATCGCTTATATCAGCAGTGGCAGTGGTAGCATCTACTATTCTCAGTCAGTCAGAGGCCGGTTTACCATCTCCAGAGACAACAGCAGAGAGCAGCTGTATCTGCAGATGAACAGTCTGAAGACTGAAGATTCTGCTGTTTATTATTGTGCCCGAGAGTCACAGTGATAGGAGTTGGTTAAGCAGCTGTACAAAATCCTTCAGGTTTAATTTTAATGGCTCCCCACCTGCAATAAAACACAACAACTTTACGCCCAATGTAAATCAATAAATGACACGAAAACTGACGGACCTTTACTGACAGTCTGCACATATGTTTGTTACATTACCTCGATACTTTAAAAAAAAGTCTGACATTCAAGAGAGTTTCTCCAAGAAATGGCATTACATATTTAAAACTCTTTTTTTGTTCTTGCAGGAGTTTGGAGTGAGATCAAACTGGAGCAGTCTCCCTCTGAGGTGAAAAGACCTGGCGAAAGAGTGAAGATGTCATGCATCATATCTGGCTATAACCCAACAAGCAACTATTGACCTGAAAAGCTATTATTTGCACTGGATACGACAGAGGCCGGGCAGAGCTCTGGAGTGGATTGGTAGGATGGACACAGGCTCAAACTCTGCTGACTATTCCAGCTCTTTTCAAAGTCGTTTCATCATGACTGAAGAAGAGTCCAGCAGCAGACAGTACCTTGAAGTAAAGAGCCTGACAGCAGAAGATTCTGCTGTTTACTTCTGTGAAAGACAAAAGGACAGTGATTTTGATGAAATGAAAAAAAAATTACTCATTTTGAGAAGAAAGAGAGAGTCCTTTCAATTATGAAGGGAAGAGTTACACAATGCAAAAAGTAACGAGGAAAAAGCAACGATAGAAATATAACAGTGAAAACCAGCTAGTTCATAACATCATAAGCTTTTATCTCCTTCCTAAAATACGAAGAAAATAAAGAATAGAGAATACGTTGTGTAAGTGAGTTTTGAATACCAAAAGGCTCCTGTAGACGGAAATCTTTAGTAGGTTGTATAAAACCATTACCATAAACTCTCATCTAATTACTTCCAGAACAACATTTTATTCATACAAATACTTAAATTTTAGTTGTCTCGGTTATATGTGTTATATTCTTGATTGTGTAATTAATTTCAAAGTTAAGGAAGGATATATTCATTATTCTATTCTTTTTATTCATGATCACATGATTTTTTCTCACTGGAGTTTGGAGTGAGGTCAAACTGGAGCAGGATCCCTCTGAGGTGAAAAGACCTGGAGAGAAAGTGAAGATGTCATCTATCATATCTGGTTATACCTTGACAGGTTAAAAATATTGGCTGGATATGACAGAGACCAGGGGGAGCTCTGGAGTGGATTGGGTGGATGAAAACAGGCTCAAACTCTGCTACCTATGCCAGTTCTTTTCAAAATCGTGCAATCACGAATGAAGAAGACTCCAGCAGAAAGTGCACCTGTTGTTTACTTATGTAACCATAAGAACTGCTGCTCAAAAACCGCAGCATGTACTAATATCAAGTAACAATGTGATCTTATGACTTCTGTTTTTTCTCCGCAGATGAAAAAGAGTTTCGATAAAGTGACATCGTACACATCCGTACATTTACCCATGACTTTAAACTGAACAGGCAAGCAAGTTGAAAAGGTTCAACCTAATTTTAACATATTCTGTTATTCTCTCGAAGGGGGAATACAAATACAAAAAGGTCATCTGCAAAAATTACCTGTTCAAAATTCTCAGTCACAAAACATACACCACATCTTTTTAGTAAACCCAGAAGCTGTTTAGTGTTAAAGAAGGCTTATTGCTGCCACAGGCTGTTAGTAAATCTGGCACTAAATGTTCTTTCTTGAGTGATAACCAGCTGTTCTCATTTATGTGACCCGCATAAAACAAATATGTGCCGAAGTGAGATATTGGTCTGTAGTCTACTGTTGTAGTTTCAACATGGTGATGTTGTTAAAGTGAATAGTGTAACATGGTTGCGATACTCAGCACACCAGCACACCACTAATTTTAATTTCATCAGGGAGAAGCTGCCCTTCACGAGGAGGCGGAGTCAATGCAAAGCACTGACAGCTTCTATCTCTTTATGTCTGACTGTAGTGATGATGACAGAGAACCGTGGACTCACAGCCTGACATGATGGATTGTAGGACAGGACTGCTGTTTTTAATTCTTTGCTTGGCAGGTGAAAAGCTTTGTTGATGATAATCTAAAAATATATATTGGTCCATGCTATTTAAGTTGTGCATTTGTTATTAATTTTCTCTTTACTGGGGCAGGTGTTAATGGTCAGACTCTGACAGAATCTGAACCAGCAGTTAAACAACCTGGTCAGTCTCACAGATTGACCTGTACAACCTCTGGAATCTCATTCAGCAGCAACTGGATGCACTGGATCAGACAGGCTCCTGGAAAAGGGCTGGAATGGATTGCTGCTGATACTAACAGTGCCACCAAATACTACTCTCAGTCAGTTCAAGGCAGGTTTACTGTCTCCAGAGACAATAGCAGACAGCAGCTGTATCTGCAGATGAACAGCCTGAAGACTGAAGATTCTGCTGTTTATTATTGTGCCCGAGACCCACAGTGACAGAAGTTGCTCAGCAGCTGTACAAAATCCTGATGATTTCATTAGATTCACTCAAATAAAATATTCAATTCAATTTATAGAATATTTTTTCACCAACCCCAATAAAATAAAAGTTTTATTTTATAAATTTTGCATACTATATTATACCTTACAAGAACTTTAAGGTCTACCTCTGGATAATAGTTATCCACAGTACATGAGAAATGTATCATCAAAAATATACTGTTGATTCCTCCTGCACTACATGCAGAGCAATGAGAAATGTAGATCAGCATCGCATCAATCCTGCAGCATTCACAAACCATCCCTCTGTAAATAATCTGGTCAGTTGAGAATGAGATTCTCATGGTGTTTATATGTTTAAGAATTACGACAAAAATATTCATGATATCGTATCACATCGTAAAATACTTGGAAGCTGTGAAACTAAGTTTTTGAATACCAAATTTCTCCTGTAGAGGGAAATTTGGTATTTGAGACAGAGTTTAGATAACCAAATTTGGTATTACATTTGGTATTCAAAAACTTAGTTTCACACTTCCATTATTATGCTCCATTATTACAATTGTCATTTTATTGATCACAGAACTTCTTGCAGTTGTTTTCTTTTTTAACCAGAAAAACAATCTCTGACTATAAACAGCTTTAAACAGAAGCTTCTTCGTCTTCTTCTGTTTTACTGGCAGTTGGCAACCCATTTAATTAGAGCAGGTAGTTGTACTGCCTTCTAGTGGAGGGGAATGTAATTCCTCTGCCCGTTGCTCACGATGGTTGCTTAGCATACCAATCAGGTGAAACCAGATAATCTCCATGGCACACTTGATCATTTCTCACGGCACACCTATGTGCCACAGCACAGTGGTTGGGAAACATTGCCCTACAGGTCCTATTAGATCCCCCCCACTCAACTGATGCTATCAGTTTTTGATTACATTAATTACACCCATAATATATATTTTAAAAATGAAAAAAAAAAAAAAAACTACTTGTTGTGGTAGCTTAGACATGGTGCTGATATTTCTCCTTCCTCACTTGTTTCTGTTACATGTTTCTGAACCTGCAGTTTAACAGAACAATGTTACAACAGATTCATTAAATACATTACACATTAATACCCATTATCACTGTGTAGCAGTTATTAGTAGTTGTAGTGACAGTGTGTGCATGTGTTTCTTACATTGCCTTTTCTAAAACACAAAGAAAACTAAGTTTGAAACTTATTTTAAGTTCAGTAATAGAAAAATTGGGCAGAGTCCCATTAAAAGTTTTAGATTCAGGAGGTTTAATTTGAGTAATGGTGTCTGACAATTTTTTTCAAATGTATATAATTAAAATAAATACTTTGTTCATTAATAGATGCGCAGAGCTATGTAACCTGCATCATGTAAAATAATTATAAGAGTTTACTTTTTTTCAAAATTAATTTGCTCTTAATATAATTTTAAGCACAGTGTGTGGGGGTCAATTAGATGATAACATCTTCCTTAAAAAGAACAGTAGAAAGACTGAATGATCAGATACATGAGTATGACGATGACAGTGTCACACTTCTGATTATTCTTTGACTTGAAACAGGCTCAATTTGAGTTTTGATTAATTTTATCAGTATTTTAAAACATGTAGAACACACTAAAGTGTAATATGTTCTGATTTAATGAATGTTTAAGGGTGGGGACAAACCACCCTCATTTAAATAATATTTTAATTCTGGCTAAATTTAACAGTATTATTTCTTTTGGAAGCATTTGTTTGAGGAGATAAGGTGCAAAAAAGCTAGATGGAAATAGTTGCACAATATAAAAAGTGGGTCTGACTTTTTAAAAAATATTTAGTGATAGTGTTTGTCTCATGTGCAGAAAATTTGTTATAGTAAATATAAAAAAAATAGACAGTTCATGATATTCTATGTCTTTATCTTTTTCTTGAAATACCAATTAGCTCCTGTTGTGGGAGGTCTATGCAAAGTTTTGCTCAGATATAAACACATCATCATCAGTTCTCATTTAGTGTATTTACAGAACAGCTTTGGACACTTTTAAACTGCACAAACATTCTGATTATAAAGTGTTCTAAATTATGGACTATATTGCTTCCTGGAGTTTATTATTCATTATATGTTTCCATGGTAAGAAAAGGATTCATTCTTTAAAAAATGAAGACAATACTCTAATTATAATGATAACTTGCTTTTTCTTTTTTCTTTTATTCTTGCAGGAGTTTGGAGTGAGATCAAACTGGAGCAGTCTCCCTCTGAGGTGAAAAGGCCTGGAGAGAGAGTGAAGATGTCATGCATCCTGTCTGGTTATAGCCCAACAAGTTATGATATAGGCTGGATACGACAGAGACCAGGGAGAGCTCTGGAGTGGATTGGCTGGATGAGCACAGGCTCAAACTCTGCTCGCTATGCCAGTTCTTTTCAAAGTCGTTTCATCATAACTGAAGAAGACTCCAGCAGAAGTCAGTATCTTGAGATTAAGAGCCTGACAGCAGAAGATTCTGCTGTTTACTTCTGTGCTCGAATAAGCACAGTGACACAAAAAAGAAGAACAGCTGTACAAAAATATCAACTAGTAAAGTAACCTCGAAGACTTTTGGGTTTCTCTTCACTGGAAAACTAATTTCAATGTTCTGAATGTGAAGTGTAAACAGAAAATATTTATTAATCATATAAATGATTTCCATATTAAGATCTTGGAACAAACAACTGGCCCATAATGTACTTTTTCCAATTCAAAAGAGGACTGAGAGCTGAGATGCTTGGGTTGGAAGGAGCCTTCAGTGGATTCACACTCATAAACACAAAAGAAATACTGAATAGTTGAAGGTCTGTAAAGTCCAGCACTATGACTCTATTGTATATTACTACGCCAAATACCCTTTCAAAGAAAGTAAATACTAAAAAACCTCCAGGTGGCAGTAAAACATGCAAAATGAGGAGAAAGGAAAGCATGACAGGCATGTAAATATGCAGAAATGTTCATGTGTGCAGCTGCTCTTCTGTTTTTTCTTTCACTTCCTCTTCTTAAGGCTATAAATAAGTTGTTGCTTTTCATACAACATTAATATTTTTTTTTTACTAAAACTGGCCCTCTATCTTTAGAAGCAGAACTTTGATGTGTTATTTCTATGAAATATACCTTTTTGTTTTCAGGTGTAAAGTGTGAACAGTTGGCACAGTCAGCCTCTGAGACTCCAGAGCTTTGTTAACATCTGACCATCAACTGTCAGGTCACTTATTTTGTTAGCATCTACTGGACAGCTCGGATCAGACAGCTTGCAGGGAAAGAACTGGAGTGGATTGGAAGTGCAGGTGTTGGATGGACCACATACTACAAAGATTCATTAAAGAACAAGTTCAGTATCGGCTTAGACTCTTCCAGCAATACAGTCTTAATGTACAAAATGTGCAACCTGATGACACCTCTGTGTATTACTTTGCCAGAGAAACACAATAACACCAAACAGCTGTAGACCAACCAAAGAATGAGTTGTCAGACCCATAAGGATATTAAAGAGGTTTCTTGATATAATAACAAAGATAAGTACAAAGACAGCAGATTTATTCACTCTGAAAATATTTTTCTAAATTTCATAATTACAATGACAAGAAATGTGTCTTTGTTTGCCAATAATACTCATTTACTGCTACAAGAATTTATCATTTTACAAAAAAGTGCTTCGAGATTTAAGATTAGTGCATACATTTTGGAAACTTGTAAAAGAGAGTAAAAGAATTAAGAGATCATATCTTAAAACCATGTGTGAATAAATAAATCAGTTAAAAGCGTCTGTAGAAACTGTCTTTTGTATCTTAAACAAAGTGAATCTCTTCAGTTAAAAAAAAATAGCACAATAATAATAATTCTTGGGAGTTTCTGAAAACCAAATGATTGATGAAGAAGGCGGTTTAAGGTTTAACTTTTGCTCCTAGATAAACCTAGCATTAATAGTTCTCATTTTATTTGTCAAATAAATCCTGGTCTTGGACCAGACAGGTTACAATATTCGCTGGATACAATAAAGACCTATGGAGCAGACAGAACATAAACTCTCCCATCTATGGCAGTTGTTTTCAAAGTCATTTAATCATGATTAAAGAAAACTCCAGAGGACAGTAACTTAAAATTGATTGCAGGACAGCAGAAGATTCTGCTCTTTACTTCTGTCCCCGGCATGATATAACATTCATGATGTAAAATTACTATAAACTACACAGCAAAATCTGCAGTGTTAAATTAACACTTTTGACAGTGTTATATGTTTAAAAGTAACCTAGTCAGTTTTGAAGATTAACAATGGCTAACACTGAGCAGTGCTGATTTTCTAACGCTGGAATATTTCTAACATTTTGAGTTATTTTCCAGTGTTAGAAAATCAGCACTGCTCAGTGTTAGCCATTGTTAATCTTCAAAACTGACTAGGTTACTTTTAAACATATAACACTGTCAAAAGTGTTAATTTAACACTCAACAGTGTTGTATTTAACACTCAGAGGTGTGGACCCATATAGACCTGATTTTGCTGTGTATGACTAGTGTTGTCTTCATTAACATTAAAGAATAAATATTTATACTTGTGTGTCAGTGAGATGATAGAAGACTTCTTAATGGTTTAGCTTTAAAAATGTTGAATTCTGTGAGAAGATTAGCAACTTCGTTTGAAAAAAAAAATCAAAAATCTGATGTTGATTATAATGAGAGTGTCACATGTCTGGTTATTCTTTGTCTTGATATGTGAAATCAGAGGTTTAAAAAAACTATGCTCCAGAGAACATACTCAGCCACAATATACCACATCAAGCTTGACTGCTAATTAACAAGTTAAAGGCTCAGGACAAACCACCGTCACTTGAATGTGTTAATTCTCGTTAAAGTGCAACAGTATTTCTTCATTAGAAAACATTTGTTTGAGAAGAGAAGCTGCAATAAATCCCAGTGAAAACAGTTAAACAATACAAAAAGTGGACTGACTTTTTTTCTATTGATGATTTTGTAAACCATTACCTTCTCCAAAAATACCAAATGGCTCCTGCAGAGGGAGGTCTATGCAAAGTTTTGCTCAGATATAAACGCATCTTCATCAATTCTCATTTAGTTTCTTTACACAACAGCTTGGGACACTTTCTAACCACACATACGTGCTGATTATAAAGTGGTCTAAATTATGGAATGTATAAATTCCTGGAGTTTATTATTCATTATATGTTTCCACGGTAAGAAAACAGTGTATTATTTAAAACATAAAGACAATACTCTGATTTATGTTGGTTACTTTTTTTTCTTGTGTTTGCAGGAGTTTGGAGTGAGATCAAACTAGAGCAGTCTCCCTCTGAGGTGAAGAGACCTGGAGAGAGAGTGAAGATGTCATGCATCATATCTGGCTATACCCTGACAGAGTACTATTTGCACTGGATACGACAGAGGCCGGGGAGAGCTCTGGAGTGGATCGGTAGAATGGATACAGGAAAAAACTCAGCTATCTATGGCAGTACTTTCCAAAGCCGTTTCGTCATGACTGAAGAAGACTCCAGCAGCAGACAGTATCTTGAGATCAAGAGTTTGACAGCAGAAGATTCTGCTGTTTACTTCTGTGCCCGTGAAAGCACAGTGACTGGAAACAGAGGAAGAGCTGTACAAAAACACCAACTACTAAAGGGATCTCACTGACTTATGGTTTTTCTCTTCACCTGAAAAATGACTTTGTTGTCTACATGTCACAGAAATTTTACTGTAAAACCGATGAGAAAATGTCTATTACTCATCATTTCAATATTATGTAATGATGCTAAACTGACACTGTAAAAAGCACACTTGAATTCACACTTGAATTCTGACTGTGTTACTCCTACATATTGTGACAAATCAGGACTGGACTGGAGATCCACTAAGGCTGTTGAATTGTTTTAGTTGGTCTACAAACTCAACTACAAACTGCTACAATAAAATTATACTCTACACTTCTTGTCAGACACTCTACAGTTCATATTAGACCCCACTAAATAATTGATAGTATCAGTTTCAATGCCAGTTACACCCATTAATATGCAAAATAAAAGTAAAACTGATTTTTTTTAGCTTAGACATGGTGTTGTTATTTCTCCTACCTCACTTATGTTGGGTGGCATGGTTCTGAACCTGCAGTTCAACAGAACAAGGAACAAGGTTACAAATGGATTCAGTTTATTCAATCAATCACATACAGCTCTATCAAACTTAATACTTAAAAGTAATAATTCCAAATTGGCATGCTTAAATTTAGTCTTGAATCTCTGAAAATGCAATGGATCAGGGAAGATCTTGGAAGTTTTTTGAACAAAATATAGTTTCTAAGTTCAGTACAAGACTGAAAACTCACAGTGACCATTGCTGACTTTTAGTTTCTGTACAGGCTCCACACCATAGTGAAACTAAATGATGCCCTTGCTTTGAGTAGTAAAAATGTGACACAATACAATTATACTAAATACCTTGGGAAAAAAACTTTTCCCAATCAAAAAGACAGCTTCCAAGGATTTGAGTGGATTAGTAGTGACTCAAACTTACTTAACTTAACTGAAGAACAAGTTCGGTGTCTCTACCAGCAAGACAGCGTCATTAAATGGGCAGATTGGTTCAATATCTTATCTTACAAGTCAGTTTTCAATAGAGGCTTTGTGTCAGCTGAGCAGAATATCAAAGAATACCAACATAATCTTTGTTCAGCACCTGCACTATTAACCTGATTTGTCCCTCTGTGACTTGAATCAGCTGTTTTTACACAATGGAGGAGATTTGGAAGCATTACAAAGGCTACAGGTACAATAAGACATAATGGAAGTTGTAACAAGACATTTAGAAATAGTACCTGGGCTGAAAATGCCACAGAAGAGCAAGAGAAGATGATCCTGATCAACCAAAGCTAATTTCAAAAGGTTTTGGATTATTAGGGGCTGGTTTCCAGTTTTTGATTATGCTTCGTTCAGACCAGGTTCAGAGTTTATCAGACAGAGAACTCTGTTGATCCTGTTTAAGCAAAAACCTGTTGCAGGTAATGAAGAAGAGGAAGAGATCTCCAGGCAGAACCAAACTCACCAGCTGTTTGCAGTGACAGAGGGCTGGTGAAGTGGAGGGAAAAATAACCACAAAAGGTGAACTGCAGTTTATAGTTCAGTCAGTTTATATTCAAATGGTCCTGGCAAAACATGTCCCAAATAGAGTGCATTAAAAAAGGTTCTGGTTACACAGAAACATTTTTGGATCATGTTGGATGTTCAATAATCTCTGAACAAACACAACCACATATGCTGAATATTTTAGTCAGGCTCTCAGTAAAATTCATCCGAACAGAAATTGTCCTGCTGCTGTGTCTTATATCCTATTAAAAGTGTATAAAGAAAGAAAACACAATTCTCAAAAAAGAAAAAAAAGCTTTATACTTATTGCATAGAGTGCTGATAAGTATGTCACTATATAAACATTATTTACAAACAATATCAACAAATTATTTCAGCATTTCCACATGTACAGTTTTATTGATGGCATTCACAAATTTCTGTACTTGTACTTGAGATTCCATTTGTCAGTGTGTACAGTATTAAAGGAAGGTTTGCTAAAACTAATTTACCTAATCATCATTAATAACTGTAATACTTTTGAAAGGAAAGTAAAATAGGATTGACTTGAGTACTTTTTTAAAGTTAGTATTCGTGGTAAGAAAAGAAAATCTGCAGCTATAAAGAACAAAGGAAACAAAACAATAATAATAATTGCGTTACCTTATTAAGATGTGTGGAGTAAGATTAAAATTGACCAGCCTCCCTCAGTGATTTAAAATAAACTGCTGGAAGGTCTACTATACCACATCTAGTTATAATATGACAAGTTACAGCATTCATCATAAGCCAGAGAAAGAACCGGAGTAGAACTGGTAAATATCACAATCACTGTATTGTAGCTCATTACAAAATCATTTCAGGTTTTCTCTTAATGTGTCCTGAAGTCAAGTCAACGGGCATAAAATTGAAGATTCTGTTTATTATTATTATCACTGAAGATTCTATTTATTTCTTTGTTTATCTCTTTTGTTTGACGTATGCATTTGCTGAAGCACAGAAACACCTGGCGTCATCATAATTATGTTGGAAAAGTTTTCTAATTAGCATTATGCGATATTTAATTTGTTTGTTTTTGGTTTCAGTTACAGCAATGGCCTGGCCTCCCTAAGTGATG